GAATGTATTGTGTATCGTTGAAGAACAAAGACTCACAGCAATATAGACACTAATATATTCGATCCACAAACCCTTATAACCATATTTTCATTGACTTTATTTTTAACAGTTCAATCTTTTTCTTACAAAAACTAGTCCCAAAAAACTTTGGCAAAAATCTTCGTGATTTGATCAATTTGCAAAGAAAAATATCATGATTTAACATAAAAAATGTATTATTTGCAAAATGATAGTAGTGTACTTTTCATGAAAGTTTTTACCGATTTTTCCGAACTATTACGGTTAATTTATGTAAAGTACTGCGTTTATCTTCATCATTCTTTTCAAGATGTCAGAATTTTGGATCAAAACTGTCAACTCTTATGCAGTCAAAATCCTGAAGTCTGTGCAGATAGTTAACACTTTCCTGCCTTTTTTTCAAGCTGTGCTAATGACATCTGTATAATACTATTGGTGGCTACGAACAGTGGACATGATCATTAAACATATTCATTTAGTTCGCTTCTTTTTTATATGTGCTTATGTTGAATAGAGTAGATCTATATGATATTCGGCATATCATAATTCCAAGACTGAACTTCTTCTCTACGAGAAGATTTAGTGTATGTTGAAATATTTTCTGCCTTCTTCCATTGTAACTTTGCTTATGCTGACAAAAGAACATATCTGTACAGATTTCTTAAATAATAAAGGTAAAACACGAAAGTGCCTATGAGTTTTGAATAACATGTGAGATCTCTCTTAGGTATTTACCAGCAACTTCCTCGTCTTTCCTCAGTCATTGTCACTCTTGGCAGTAGATGATGACTTTACCGTGTTTCGCAATAGGTATATTTTTCTCGATCTAGTGCTCGTCGAGCTACATTATATCGATATTCTCTTACTCACATATTCCTGCTATCGAATCAGAGATCATATTTTTGACGATAAAGATAGCAACTTAGTAGACGATTGATTAATTTAGAAAACTCTGTATATTTAAACAGATGCTACAAATAAGCAAACAATATGGGAAATACAAATGATACTTACTTTCAGAAACTTGTAAAATTCACTTTTATAATTTTTTCAACTTTGTGTAAATGTATGCTGTCCTTTCTCATATATATATATCCCTTATGTAGATCAATATTCAAAAAAGGAACCAATATCAATATTGCGCACATTGAATATTATAAAGCAACAAAAATAATGATGCATGAAAGTATTCAAATATTTACTGACTTTCTTCATGAATGCTATTTTAATACTTTTGCTTGATTGAAATACAGTTATATATATATTCGTAAACATATGAATAAACTTATATAAACTACTTCAATTACCAACGGTTTGGATGCTTACTTTATTACTTTTTTTTTCATAATCAAATATCGATTACTTCAGTTGCTTTGCTTTTGCGTCTTTCTGTGTAAAGGTTATACAGTAGTTGGTTTATGTAAAAAGGGTGTGGGTGTGGGTATGAGTGAATGTGGGTGTGAGGTGTGGGTATAGCTATCATGTAAAAGATCACTCATACCACAACCCACAATCACACTTACCCATACCCACACCCACACCGATACCCACACCCTCCCGAATTTGAAACTAATTTTCAAAAAAAAAAAACCTAGAATAAATGAATCTGAATTCAAGTCTAAATGTTTTAAAAATGATGAACCCTTCCCTTGTAGTTGTTATACCTACATCTCTATAGTTCTTCTTTTACATATCATCTATAATTATTTGTTTTCAACCTATGAATACTATTGATAGCTTTTTGATATTCATATTGACATGGTACAAACAATGATTTGCTCTGAATATTAATATATTATATTTAGAACTATCTTTCAATATTCTATCAAGGTTCATATTGTTTTCAGTTTTTGTATAATGCGAGGTATATGTTGATAGCTGTCTTTTTGTTTGTTGCTTGATAAGTATCTTGAGGATAGTATCGAAGAATTTTGTATATATTTTTGTAGTATTAGAGATAACATGAATTTTCGTCGTAATGACTTTTGCTATAGACTCCCAACAATGTTCGAAAAGGTATTTCGTCATTTCAGACACTATCATTATCCTCATCAAGTACTGTATGTATGTGTTAATCATGTCAGCAGTATATTAATTGTATTTTAAGTAATAAAAAAAAAATGCTACTGAAAGTCAAGTGCAAAAATCATTATGGCGACCTTCCTATTTCTCATTAATCAGTACTTCACTAATTATCGTCATACTTATCAGTAATGATTTAAATAGTTGAGACTAATTAGTATTTGACCATTGGATACTTAATTAATTAATTAATTAGTTAGTTAATCAACTATTAACTAGTTAGATAATATATAATGGTAGAAAACTATGTTCAACTTTGAAGAGATCTACCCGTAGCAAATAATTCTCTCTCAAAACATGTTTCTCTTTGTTTGTATGCATATAATTATCTGTCGCTATCGTCACCATTACCAATATGATCGTTCAAGAACTATTGCACATGTAGAAGACGAAAAGAATGTTGAGACTTACACATTGTGATCATTGTTGATGAGCTTTGTTATTCTTTAATGAAAAAGTTAGTATATATTTTCAAATAATTCAACTATTCTTTTTGTTTTTCTTATTCTTTGACTATTGACTAATTTTTATTTTAGATTATTTATTATAAAAATATTTTATTTTAAAGAATTATTATACAAAAATAAATCTTTTCTTATTTGTAGAACTTCTTATAAAATAATAAACAAAAATTTTATTCTTGAATATTGTTCAATAAATAAAACAACTTTATTTTTTCATTTGTTAATTTGGAATCTTTAAGTAAAATTTCTCAAATGAAGATTTAATGAATAATCTTGAAAATAAGTTGATGTCATTTTTTATCCTTATTACAGATAAAACAACATTAAATTTTACAAGGACATTTCACCTTGAATATATAATTAATTTTAAATGAACAAATAATATCATTTAAATATTTTTTTTTTCTTTTTGTTTAATAAAAAATTCTTCATTAAATTTTAAAAAAAGTGAAAATGTATGTCTTAGTCAAGGATATTCTTGTTTTTGTCTATTCTCATTTGAATCTATAATATCTGGAGTACATTTTGCCTTTCATAAATCACTTGTATTTCGTATTTGAACTGTATAATTCTTATCATATTAACAAAAACAATTGTACATTTGTTTCATGTATTGCTTATTCAAAAGAATTTCATTGATGAGAAGAACGATTTGAATCATCATATTTTTCTTATATTCGATAACGATCAATTCCACTACCATCAACAACAATAAAAAAACAAAAAAAGAAATCCACCAACACTCGTTGATTTAGAACAGTTAAGTCAACCAAAAACTATTTAACCAGAATCAACATTCAATAAGTGGATTTGAAATAATTTCATTAAGAAAATAAGCAAATACACTGCAGGGTTGGAATCGGTAAGAAAAAGATAAAACTGTCCGGTCCGGCCGGTTGAAAGTCACCACTGTACCGGTTAGTTTCCGGTAGGACTCACTGCTTTAAAATCGTTCCAAACATCGAAAAATATGGTAGAAATTGATCAAGCCAGTTTCGATTACAGGATAAGTTATATAATATTTAAATAACATAACTCAACCAATATGATTTAGCTCCTCGTATCATAAGTGCAGAAAACTGAAATTGACCAAAGTAATTTTTTATAAAGATATTTGAGAAAATTGTGATGTTTCTTCAGAAAACGCATACCCTTATATAATGACGTCGTCTCTATGTACGTGAATGTGGATAACAATTAATTTTCTTTTCTTTTTCCTTTTTAGGAATGAGCACATTTTGAAAAAACTACCCAAAATTACTACATTCGTACTTGAGAAAATATAATTAGATTTTTTATGAAACTTTTGAAAAAGATATGCATAATCTCTACCATCATGAGCCATCATCATTTCTCAATAGAATATTGAGACTTTTCTAACTGATTTACATAACACTCCCTAGTCCTTTCAGAAAGTGAAGCCTTAAAGACAGAAAAAAGTCTAAAAATAGTTTTAATCTTGATATGTATATGTTTAAAGTTTATTGTCAAATTCTCTTTTCGTAATTATGGATAAAAAAGTAAGACAAGTAAAAGTGTAGGCTACAATTTCATGCAATAATCATTAAAGGAAAAACAAGTAATTGTTGAATTCAAATTTAACAATAAATTAGTCAAGAATATTTTCATGTTTACCATAGTATTGCAAATATCGTGATAAATATTCAATAGAGACATAAGAAAATTTTAAATATTGGCATTATCAGAAGACTTTCTATATAAATATGTACATTATTCGAGTACTTGTTCTACTCGAGAGTAAAATACATTGCTTTTTTTGAAAAAATGAGAGATAGGTACACATAATATTTTTTCAATTTCAACCAGCATATTTCCGGGATTTAGTAGCACGCTTTCAGCACTGATACACTGTGAAAAAAAATCAATAATTATTAAAAATTCTAAATGTTTAATTTTATTTTTCGCTATGAAGACATTCTAATGAACTAGTCTTTTTGTTTTTTTTATTTTTTTTTAAAAGAATCGTGCTATAAATAAATAATTTTTATATGCCAATGAATCATACATACGAATTGAATAGATATACCCTATACTCTACGAAGAAGATCACTTATTTCTTTTTCTATCATTCTTCTTCTTTTTAATATTATATAATCAATAACAAAATAATAATAACTAGACGAGTTGATATCATTAACATTTCTTTTCTGAATGTCTTTGTTTCACATATAAAGATAAGGGATCAATCGAATTGACTTAATTCAAGATGAATTAATCAATATAATTATCGTTGTTACATAGAAACACCAATTATTTCATTTTTCATCGTCTATATTGTTCATAGACTGCCTATAGTAAAGTATATAATAATATCCTATCTATCAATTGCTCTATCATTTGATATATTCTTTATACATAACAAACTAAATCATCGAACGAGTATATTACCATCTTTTATTCTTGTCAGTTAAACAAATGGATACACATACATATTTAGAAGATTTATCAAATGAAATTTTCTTCGAAATATTTGATTATTTACATGCACTTGAGATTTTTACTGGTTTTTATTCATTAAATAAACGAATTTTGTCTCTTCTACAATCAATTCCACTTCATGTTGTCATCTTAAATAGTCATTATGATCGAGAAATTGATTTTCTTTGTCATCATCTTATTTTTCATGCTCATCAAGTCATATCACTAAAATGTTATGATACAATTCGTAATCGTTCATCTATTATTAGCCTACTATTTAATCGACATCATTTTGTTAATCTTAATTCATGTATATTTATAATGGATAATATATCATCTGAATTTGTAAATATTATTAAACAAATTGAAAGTTTGAATAGACTTGTTTCATTTTTTATTATTCAATCGGAAAATAAAAAAATCAATGAGAAAGATAAATATGATATAATTCGAACTATAATGATGAATAAATCATCTTCTCTTCGTTCAGTTAAGCTTCATTATGATTATTATGACTTGAATATATCAACTTATACTTCAATTACTTCGAATCTTATATCACTTGAATTATTAATATCTGGTTCATCAAATAAAGTATCAGTTTATTCAATTTTGCCAATTCTTCGTATTTGCCATAGAATACGATACCTACATGCCATAATAAAACATGATATTCTATCTCAAAATAATAATATAAAGTAAGTTGTAATGTAAATATTCGACAAATATTCTTTATACAATAATATTGAAAATATAATCTTTTCTCTTTTTTCTTTTAGTATTTTAATTCAAGAACCATTTATTAATGAAAATGATCTTCCTATATCATCACAACTGATATCTTTTGATTTATCAATTTTTACTATATGTGACATTCGTTCAATTGCATATATCTTACGTTGTATGCCTAATCTTATACAGTTTAAGTTTCTTCATGAAACACGAAGAATAGCTCAATCATATGCTGATGATTTTGTCAATGGTTATACATGGCAACATATGTTTGAAATGTATACTCCATTATTATTGAAATTTGATTTTCATATCTCATTCAAGAAAAGTTATCCAAAATTAGATTTAGATCTAGTAATAAATTCATTTCAATATTTTATTAAAAAATATTCCAAATGGCACATGATTATTGATCGATGGACACCTGAGAATAGAAATACTCGTAAGTAAAATTGTTTTTAAATACGAAAGAAAGAATACAGAAAACTTGTCATTAAATAGAAATGTAATCAGTTGATGAATTTCAGTCTATTCTCTTATTACAGGCAATGTGCACAAATTTAGATTAACACTCTAGTAGGATAGTGCACAGTTCTCTGTTGCATTTTATATTAAAGAAAGAGCTTAGAGGTTCATCTAGTTAGTAAAAAGGCAGCAAAAATGGAAACATATTGATTGGTGAATGTCATATATTTGACCATGTTGAAGAAAATGATTCTTTTTCTTTACAAGAAAAATATTGAAAATCTATCATAAACATAATGTATCAATCAACTATCAGATTGATTGTGAAATTCTCGTGTCTCAGACTGTACAACTATCTATCTCCCTTAAAATAGTTTTCTCTAACTTTGATAAGACGAATTAGATTATTTCTAAAATATCAATAGCAATACACAAACAACCAATTATTTAAAACTAAAGACTCAATTCGTCTATGAGAATCTATTTATTCTGAAACAAAGTTTTTTTTTTTAACTTATAATGTTTTTTCTTATAGAAGAGATTGTTATGTTACGCACATTTGGTTATCAGAAATATAAAAGAAACGTTCATATCGCTATTCCAATAATTTATTATGAAACATTTGAGACACGATCAACAAAGGCAACAACAAATGATCATTATCTTTATTTTACAGACACAAAATATTTAAAATTGGAAATGGGAGAGATAATACCAAACATTAATTCTGTTCCATTATTTCAACATATCAAATATCTCGTTGTATATTATTATCCAGAATTATATGTGACATATTTGAACACTTCATTAGATATTGGTAAGAAGAATAAATATTTCTTTTAATTATGTGGTTTAGTTGATGAAAATGAATTTCTTATTTTCAATTTATTTTAACTGAATATTTTCAATTTTTATCATACATAGATAAACAAATTCGATTATTCTTTCTATAGTTTTTATTCATTATCTTTTTTTTTGTTTTGTTTTAGTGAATCCTTTGCAACTAAAGAAAGATTATGTTTCACCAGAATATATTCCTTATCTTTCACATATTGTTCATTTACTTAATGTAAATCAAATTAAGTTTGATCCATGTATTTATGTAGGTCAATGGAAAGACATTCGATTTATTTTACAGTAAGAATATTTGAAATTAATCTAATGTCATTTTTATTTTATCTATTTTTATTTCTAAATCTATGAATTATTTTTGATAATTGTAATATGTTTTTCTTAATGAACTATTTCATTTTATATCAGATAGATGATAAAATTAAATTCTGTAGAAGAATAATTATTGATATGAAATATAAACATATTAAATATATTTTATTATTCTGTGTTTTTCTTTTAGAGCATGTCCAAATGTGATTGATCTTGAACTTAATCCTTCAGATTTGATTTTATCAGAATTTATTGATTATCAATCTCTTTTTGCAATTTTTAAACAAATTAAAATACTCAAATCAATAACAGAAAATTGTTATGTGCCTTCGGATTTTCTATTAAAACTTGTTCAACGTTTTCCATCACTTACTGATATTGAACTTCAAGTATATTCATTCGATGATTGTATATATGCTATTGATATATTACTTAGTCATCTAAAAAATTTGTCTTATCTTAAAATTTATTATATTGAAGTTTCATCACTCGATCATCCTTTTTCATGTAATTATATTATTGATAAACGTCGTCAAGAATTTGGTTTTAATATTATTGATGAATATAAGATTACAATTATGAAGAATAAAGAATCTGTAGAAATTAGATTATCATAATTTTATATGTATATAGACTTTATTTTTGCTTAAATAAAGTTGAAATGAAAATATATTTTTTTTAAGTCATTTTTATTTCATTTGATAAGGATTATTTCTGCTTTTTTTTGTATTGTATAATTGTAAACCTTAGGTGAATATTTAGATAAAGGAACGGGGATATTTTGCATTGTTATCGACCCTCCCCCCCTCCCCCAGTTCCCGATAGAAAACATCATCAGTTGTTCATGAAACTTTCAGCAGTCGTAGCACTCATAGTCAGTAGTAATTCCTATCAATTTCAGCTTGATTGGTTAATCTTTTGCCTTATTTTTGGTGACACGCCAGATAAGCCCCTAAGTGACCTACATTAGTGATCTTGTGTACCTTCGATCTCTGCTATATGATTCAGAATCAGAGCTATTTTTTCAAGATAAATATCAATTATTACGAGCTTCAAAAGTGCCCGAACAAGTGGCTGCAACAAATCTGCCTTGAATGTTTTATGAATCACATACCATCCTGAACATACCTTATAATAGCATATAGAGGACTTTGTGTACCTTTGATCTCCACTATATGATTCAGAACCAGAGCCAATTTTTCAGGATCAATACCAATTATTAAGAAGTTCAAAAGTGTCCGAACAAGTGCTTGTAATAAAACTGCCTTTAATGTTTTATGAATCGCATAGCATCCCGAATATGCCTTATAATAGCATACATAGGAGCTTGTGTACCTTTGATCGCCATCATATGATTCAAGATCAGGACCGTTTTTTCTGCATTAATACTAATCATTAAGAACTACGAAACTACCACAATATATTATTGCAGAACAACACTTGTGAGAATCTTGTAAGAAATATTTTGCAATGCAGACTTTACTTGAAAAAGCTGAAGTTACTAACCTCATATACTTAGAAGTTACCGATGAGTTGGATTAAAAATATGATATGTAACATTTCAAAGGTCTGTTTTGTTGACTTACAATGCAGGAGAAGCAGTGTAGGGAAGCTGTAAGAAACTGTTTGGATAATGCCTTTGAATAAACAAATGACAGATATGCATATTGACGCACCGTTGAGAGCATTAGAAAAAGCAATAAATAAATAGTTTTTTGCTGATTGATGCTGAAGAGTATTCCAATACATGACATACTGGCTTTTCCCAGGAACTGTATATGTGTGTGGTTGGATATTATTCTTTTCTAAACAAAGTTATGGACACGTATCGTGCATACATTTTGTTTCATTTTCGATAATCCAAATGTCCAACAAACAGAAAGCATAGAACTAAAGGGAGATACATGTACAAATACCCACTATCAACAACGAGAAACGGCTTCTTGATCATAAAACCCAATCGAAATATCGGTGAATATTTCGACAAACTTTACGTTATAACGCTTTGAAACAAAGTTCGGATCTAATCTAACGTACTGGAGCTATAATATATTAAACATTAAAACTCTGTATCATTTCTCATGAAATCTCCACTTTCGAAATTATTTACTTCTCTCCGAAATAATTCACATAATAGATGTTCGATATCACTTGTCACATACTTCAGTCATAAGATGAACGGTATGCTATGGGAAAAGATTAGAGAACAGTTTGTTTTTTGTAAGTATTTGCTCGAGCATTTCTAAAGCTCTTGATGCTTAGTACTGATACTGAAAAAATAGCTCTGTTTCTGAATCATATAGTAGAGATCAAAGGTACACAAAGTCACTAATGTAGGTCACTTAGGGGCTTATCTGGCGGGTTACCAAAGTAAGAAAAAAGCTTAACCGATCAAGCTGAAATTTATAGTAATGACTACTAACTATGAAAGCTACGATTGCTGAAAGTTTCATGAAAAAACTGATGATGTTTTCTATGGGAGCTGATAACAACGCAAAATGTCCCCCATCCTACGATAGATTGTCTGGAATGTTTTCAAAATAAAATTTTCAATAATAATTGTAAGATTTGATCATTTTCTTGTATAATTATTTTATTCAATTATCTATATTTAAAATAATGTAAAGAGATTTCGATTAGCTACAAATTGGCAACTAGATTTTTTATTTGTTTATATCTATTTATATAATCAGTATGTATGTTGATCATGATCATTGGTTTAGTTTATATGTACAGTATAACCTCTCTATAGCGGACACCTAAAGGACTTTTTCAAAGTGTCCACTATACGGAGGTGTCCACTTAAGAGAGGTTTTAGATTTCTTTCGCTTCAAAGTGATCACTATCGTTATTATAGTGGATTCCACTCCTTTCTCAAGTTCGTTCGCATTATACACGTCGTCGTCGTTGTACCCATTAACGATTGTCAGAAGACGATGTTTCCAATCATTCGTGGTGGCTGTGATGACACTTGCACTCTCACCCGAAATTTGCCTGAATCCGATCATATGCCGATTACGAAACCTCTGAAGCCACCCATTTGACGCTTTGAACTCTCCTGGTAGATTGTCCATTTCTTCGGCAATTTCTCGCGCTTTCTCTTATAACATTGGACCCGACACAGGAATGTGTTTTGCATGTTGAGCCGTGAACCATTCGAAGAGGACTTCGTCGACATGTTTGCTACTTTCATCTTTCAATTTTCGCTTGATGCCCTTGTTAGCATTAGATGAATAATCGCTCTGATACTCGGCGCTGCGTGTCAAGATATTGGCGACACTACTTTGTCTGCCAGTTTACGTATCGAAAGGCCATTGCCGCTGTCATTGTCGTTGATAAAAGAAATCTTCTGTTCTAATGTCAATTCGTGTTGCTTCATGAGTAGATAGGTGAACGTGTGCTCAATTTAGTAATTTGCTGTCCTTTTATATTATCAGCTGGTCTGTTCTTTTTTTGCCTAGTCTATTCTGGTTTTACCCTGTCTGTTTCGTTTCTGCCTAGTCTATTTTCTTTCCATTGCCTTTGTATTGCAGTGTACGTCGCGTATTGATTTCATTAGTGCCTTGTTATATGCACAATTCTGTCTAGATGAAGATAATGCGACGAACTTAACAAACTGTCCACTATGAAGAGATTATTCACTGCAATGGGACCAGATAAAAGTGTCCACAGTCCAGAACACGGAGGTGTCCAGATTCGGGAGGTTCATTTCCAGCAAAAAAGGCTCGGTGAGACCGAGAGGTGTCCACAATAGGGAGATGTCCACTTTAGAGAGGTGTCCACTAACAGAGGTTTTACTGTATAAAGTTTTTCAATTTTCATTGATATTTCAAATTATTTCTATTTATTTTACTCATTTTTATAATTTATTGATCAAATTAATCGAGAGATTTCATTGATATAATATGCTGCATAAATTATTCATTTAAAATTTAAAAAACTTTAATTAAATAGGTTGCTGTTCATTAATTGAACAGATTGAATAAGATCTTTTTTCTTTACAATATTTGGTTGGTAATTGCATCTTATATAAAATATGTAATAGAAATCGTTGACATATTCATTTCAAAAAAGTTTTTTTTTAAGAAAATATTGAATTGAAATGTGATATCCATCGATATTTTTTACATCTATTTTTTTCTTCTCTAATAATTTATTTTCGTTGAATAATAAAATTAAAAATAAACAAATATGATATTTCGAAGTATCTATCAATCTTCAAAATAAATTGCACCTACATGCTCTCCTTCCTCTCACTACTTGGTTTTTTTTTCTTTAACAATATTTTTGTTGTAGTTGATATTGATCTTCTAATAGATTATTATTATGCATATATCATCTATATTTGTATAAATAATTACCAAATTTTTATTATTATACACAACTAATAATGCTCTACTAAATAGAAGTTAAATCATTTTCAATTATTTATTTATTAACAAGTACCATCTATCATATAAATATCTCTTTTTTTTGTATATTTATTTTTCGTTAGATCCTAAACATTATTCAACCGATAATTTCACATTAATTATCAGTGAAAAAAAATGAAACTTTCACCTATAATGTAATTTCGTATAGTCTATCAAATAATAAGAAAAATTGAAATAAAATGACAATCTTTAAAACTTTTGCAAGAAAGAGAGAGTTCATATAGTATGGATAAAGAAGCTGCTGCATATACTCTACCGTACATTTTGTTTTCATTTCACTACTTTTTATATTGAGAATGATGTTACACAATATCAGAACTTCTGAAACAAATACAAATTCTGGACATTGTAAGAGATGTTCTATGAGCCAGCCAAGAAATTACCGAGACATCGATTATAATATAAATTTTTGATTTTTGATTTGTCTTTAAAAGACGATTATTTAAGAATACCAAATCGAAACTTTTTAGCTCATTTCAATGTTTTATACGAAAGTTAATTTATATCAACTTTTCAGCATCATCAATAAATAAGCATAAAACATTTCATAAATGTCTATTAGGATTATAGCATTTCCTAGTGATTCCGGATGTGCACAAATTCCGGAATTCTGCTTTGTATTTATTCAAGCTCGATAAATGATCACTTAGCCATCTATGAGATATTTGTAATTCCGGAATAGGCAGGAATGACCAAGAATTCCTGCATTGGCTAGTGATTCCGGATATGCAGAAATTCTGGAATTCCGCTTTGATATCGAATAAATCTTTTAAGATGATGATTTCGTTATTCAGTATATCCTTCGAATTGTGGAAGTACCTGGAATGACCCGAAATTGCATGTTGAGAGTTGGATTTGAAAAGAACTAGGAATCAGGAATTCCTGGTTGTGGCATGTATTTGAGGGAAAGGATCGTTTTAGGTTTTCGGGAATTGATGGTAAGGGATTCCGGGTCAGAAGGCGATGCAGGAATGTGTAACTTTTGGGAATAGGAAGTATTCTTGTGAGGGTGTGGGTGTGTGAGTAAGAGAGAAATGATACCCACACCCACACACCCACCCACACCCACCACACCCGCATCCACACCCACACCCTACCCACAGCCACAGCCACAGCCACAGCCACACCCCCACACCCACCCCCCACACCCACGCCCACACCCGTTATCACGAGTATATGTCAGA